AATATAGACGAAGGGGTTGTAGATGCATGCTGTCACTAGTGTCATATACGAAACATCAATTAGTAATTACGTATCAATAATGTCGTTATTTGTCAAAATTATCGACGAATTATGTGACTGTGAAATCAGTAGTAATAGAATACAAAGAGAAGTTTTAAGTCAACAATATATAAATGGCGTTTACAATTTATGCCAAAAAAGAAAAAGAAAAAAAGGGAGTAGTTAAATCTGTATCAAATCTTGCTGACAATTGTAAATACTAATTTACATGAAAAAGTCCAAATTAGTGAAACCGGTTTTAACTTTTTCCATTGACAAAAGTCCATATTATACATATATATTCCTTTTGAATTATATATGATGAAAAGCTTTGTCCATAATTTTCACGTTATTTAGTAATAGAAAAGAATTTATTGATAAATGGACTTTCATGGAAATTGCTAGGGGGTTGTTTGACAAAGTTTTAACAAATTTTATAAAAAATTCTGAAATATGTGATGGAAGAGTTTTGGATATTATGAAATATGTACCAAAAATTAAAGTTTGAACTGTTGAAAATATAATAAAATTTTACGAATCAAATAGACGGCTTATGTTTTCTTTCACGCATATCTAAACCAGAAGCCTTAAAACAATTTTCACGGTGAAAAATAATTATCATTTGACACCAATAATCTTGAGCTTCAAGGAAAACCTAGGAGTACTAAAAAGTGCTGATGAATTCACTCCTGACAACTTCCTAGAAAAAACAAATGTGCTCCTTGTCCAGACCTCTGGACAGACGTCCTGTTTTTAAACCTGTTCAGAGGCCTGAACGTATGGCTTTTTTCTAGGAAAAAATTAGGGATATAAACGAGTCGGGCCGAACCTGTTCGAGAGCCTAAAGTTTCGGCTCCGGCTTGACCCAGTTAAAATGGCCTAGCTTTTTTGCGGGCTCGTTTGCTCGGCCAAAAAAAATAGGCTCGACCTGAGCTTTTGCTCGGACTTTTTAAGGGCCGAGCCGGGTAGGTTGGTTTTCTCGCCCTTATTTATTATTATTATTTTTTCTCTCCTCCTCCTAAACTGTTGCCATAAAAGACAACAGCTTGGCTGCCTTACAAAGAAGCAGTTTTGCTGTCTTTTAAGCCTCAAATTTAATTTTTTTTTTCACGGGCCGGTTGGGACAAAGCCCGTGTCCCCAAAATGGGGCTAGGGTCCACTGAGCCCCGAGCTAAGCCACGGACGGTTCGATCCAACGAGTCCGATTGCCATCCCTAGAAAAAACCCTGGAATAATTTTAATATTTGATGATGATAATTTAAGCTTTGCAGAAAAGTCGGAATCTCCACGTGAAATTCACGAGCCACCGGAGTGGACATGGTACAGAGGCGTGAGGCGACGGTCATGAGGGAAGTTTGCTGCAGAGATAAAGAAACCTGTCAGAGATAAGGAACCCCATATTGGATGACACAATATGGGGTGTCATTAATGTAAAAAAGTTATAAAGGAAAAAGAAAATAAATAAATAATCGAATTGCAAATATGCATGATATTCAAAGTTAACTTGTAAGTAAAAGTAATGTTATATAACTTCATTAGAGTTGCAATCTCAATTAATGTGACGCTAATGTGACATTTTATTTAATGTCACATTAGCGCCATCTTGACAGGGGTTGTAACTCCAGTGATATTAAATAATATTACTCATAAGTAAAATGTCCTCCATAAAGTGAAATTCCTGTTTACACTAAGGGATCTTAATTTAATGAAATTTGAGGGCCAATTTAATGTTGTCTTGTCATTGACAAACCATTTTCTTTGTTGAATGAGCAATGTTATGTAACTCCACTAAGTTGCAACCATAATCTAAGTGATGTTATATAATAGGCTAAATAAAAGATGAAATTAAATGAGTAGCTTAATTTCATATTAACGCCACCTAAACTGAAGTTATAATCTCGAAGAGGTTAAATAACTTTACTCTTGTTGGATAGAGTCCAAAATAAAATAGGCTTTTAACTTGTTGATTTTTATGAAACAAAGAATCATTAGAGTTTTCAGTTTTGGTGTCTTAGAAGAATCATTAGAGTTTTCAGTTTTGGTGTCTTAAGAGTCTTTTTTCCTATACTTAAATATTGAGAAATAAAATGGAGAGGAGATATGCACACAGTAACTATATCATTGTGTTCTAGAATCGAACTAAATGGCTGATGAAGAATTAAATTTATTGATGTTTTCCGATTTTATGAAACAAATAATTATTTGGGTTTTTTGGTGTCTTAACAGTCTTTTTTCCTCTACTTAAACACTGAGAAATAAAATAAATGGAGAGAAGATATGCATATAGTAACTATATCTTTGTGTTCTAGAATCGAACTAAATAACTGATGAAGAATTAAATTTATTGATGTTTCCGTTTTTATGAAAAATATTAAAAGATGTTCGTAAGTTTTGGACGATTTTATTTAAAAATTCGAAAAAAATGTTAAGATGAATTCCTCTCTCCCTCTTCTTCAACTCCTTCAAATCAAACATTCATACTTATCCCTTCACACCCACTCAACAAAAAGAAGCAGCATTTTTGTCTATCTAAGAAAGGAAGTCAATCTTTGTGAAGGTTCAACAGAATAATGATTTTGAGACATAAGAATTAAGAACAAAATTTCAAATAAAATAAAATTAAGAAATAAAAAATCAACTTTTGACAAAGGGTTGGTGTCCCATTATTGCCTTTTTTTTTTGCCGACAAAAACCAAAATCAAAACAACATTATCAATGAATAGCTGGTCCAAGACCATATTTTTTTTGTCATCCACGAGTGATATACTCTACCCTTCCTATCTAGAAATTTGCCTAATTAAGCTATTGGCTTTCATTGGCGATAAAAAGTAAAAATATTAATGAATAATTTACAAATAAACGGTAGTTATATATATCAGCCAAACATATGGAAAAAAAAAAATAAAAAAATAGAGGAATACCTCACAAAAAGTAGAGAAAGATCTACTCTTCCTATCTAGAAATTTGCTAATTAAGCTACTTGTTTTATTTTTTCAACCCAACATATGGAAGAAAAATAGAGAAACCCTTATTACTTATTAATGTATACAATATTTAAAAAGAAAAAGTTAAAAATCTTAATTAAACTTCGATCATGGCACTTTTTTCTTTTTTTTTTTTGTAAAAAATATTCTAGAAAATCCCTTACTTAGTCCTAGTTAATTATTTTCTTTATTAATTCACTTTGATGTTTGTTGAAATTTGTAAGATTCTCTTCAATAATTAAATTGACATGAATGGCGGACATGGCTTATTATAAATTATCATATTTTCTAATAGAATAATCAAAGATTTTAACACAATCAATATACAATATTGAATTCTATATATGTCCACCATTAATAATTAACTCATATGTTTATTGATTAAAAATTGATTTTAAGCTGGATTAGTCCATAACTTTGCAAGTATTTACGTAAAAATTTGATGGACAAATTAATGAAATTTTTTATTTTCTTTTCTGAAGCGATAGTGAATTCATGTATGTTTGATTTAACTATGAACTAAGAAATAGACATGTTTTTAAGTTATTCAATAATTTGTGATATTTCACGGATTGGTATGGTTCATTCCGACGAGAGCTAGGCTGACCTAAATTTAACGAATTTGTGTTAATGTTCATTTTCCTAAAATTAAAAGATCATGATCCCTACACACATTTAACATGAACTTTGCTCTTAGGATTTTTCTAAAATCTGAGCATGTTTTTTTAATGGGGTTAGTGTCTTTGACTAAAAAAATAAAAAAAGTAAAAAAGTAGGACATGAGGTAAGTCGGATTTATGACAAGTATCCAAGAATTTCAATGTGTAAATCGAGGGTTAAAACTCTAAAACTTATCTAATTTTATCAATTGTTAGAGAATTTTTATCTTAAAATGAGATCATGAATTTTCGAGAATATTATTAAGGATATAACAACAATAACACTGTTGGAATTTTGTATGGAAAATTGGTTGTGACCAATTTTACATGATTATTTAAGTAGAATTCTTACTTTGGTGAATGAAAAATTAAGCCAAATGTAAGCTGCTTAATATTTGAAATTGTTGGAAAATTGTATAGAATATTGTGGAATATTCTTGAAAGAGATGAGTAAAAAGTTGTGCCTTTTCATATGAATCCAATAATTATGAATTCCAAGAGGTGTCTCTTGGTGTGGGTGTATTTTTTGACATAGATTTCCAACTACTATATATTGGGCCATGTGTTTGGATTTTATAACTTAAATAAAAGAATTTAGAAATTCAATTCATAATTCCATATCATTCCATTTCATGTTACACTTTGGTTTTGCATAAAAACATTTGCATCAAAGTCATGGTTATGGTAGAGAGGGAACTTCGCTCGAGTTCGTTGGTTTAAATTATTTGGAGTGCTCTTATGACTTGACGTGGTTATTGTATCTTAGGAGATGATTGTTGGAGAACTGTTAGCACTGATGTGAGGGTAAATTCATCTTAAGGACAAAGTGTCCAACACTTGCCTCAGCCAAAAATCCATCACTTGCATTCTCTTATTTCATTTTCTGATTTCTTTTATTATACTTTGATTTCAGAAACTGATTAACATTGTTTACATATTTATGTTGCAAGGTTCGATTCAAAGAATTATTTGATTTCGTTCAAGAATCAAAAGGGATGAATCCATATTGATACGTTTAGATTCGGTAAATTATTGTTCTCCTTCTCAAATCTATTTCAGTAAGTCGAAATTACGTTTCGATTTCACGCAAATAAATAACATGATTTTTGTGAATATAATATTCACAAATTGGTGTAATTTCTCCAACAAAGACAACACAAAGTTTTACCTGAAAAACTCTAAAATTGGTAAGCATGTGCCAATAATTATTATGACCACGCAATATTTCTCACACCTTAATCATTCCTGCGTACAAACCATAAGATCCATGACTATCTCATAACTTGAGATGGAAAAAAACCACAGAGGGGAGGGCTCCTATTATGGGGTGCACAAAAAGATTGGCTAACTGTTCCTATTTCGATTATTGAAACTTTACCATAAAGTGGGAAATACAAAATATTCTATGTATGGGATAAAATCTTGCTTGTCTATTATTACCCTTTTCTTTTCTTTTTTTTCTTTTTTTTTTTAATGACACTCCATATTGTTTGAGAACACATATTAGGAAGCGACCTCAATTTTCATCTTCTTTGTTCCAACATTTTCCGGCAATGAAAACGATAACATAACCTCCGAAGATTGCTTACGTTTTTCTGTCACCTTAACCGGCTTCGATACATTGGAGCCAATAAGATGTGGAAAATTAAGCCGAGCTTTTGCGCCACGCAACTTGAAAGCCGCCCGATCATAAGCCAATGCTGCATCCTCTGACGTCTCATATGTGCCCAGCCAAATTCTTGAGCCTTTCTTGGAGGGATTCCTTATTTCTGCCGCAAACTTCCCCCACGGCCGCCGCCTCACGCCTATGTACCGCTTCCACTCTGATGGCACTTTGATTCCACGCACAGATTCCGACTCTTCTGACACAGTATCATCACAGCATGATAATCTATCATCAAATATTAGTATTCCAGGGCTTTCTGCAAAAAATGAACTGTTAAAGCTTGAGTTTTGGCTGTAAATTTCTGCATCGCATGAACTTATTTCTTTATAGCCGTCAACAGGGAAATCATCAGAATCATTTAAAAGATAATTTTGTATGGACTGAAGAAGGGCCATGTCTGAATCTGAAATGGGATTTGCATTCATTTTTTAGGATTCCTAAGTTTTGCTTACACACAATTAATGGTGTCAAATTAAGGATCTTTGTTCAATGTCAAAATCTATGATGTTTCTGGTTTATATATGCATGACAGACAACTAGTTATTCTTCGAGTGATTTCCATGAAGGTCCTCAATCCACGTGTCAAATAATTGATATTGTATATCACATGAAAGTTATGCTAATTCTTTAATACTCGAATAGAAATTTCTATTGTATGATGTTGACAAAAGATTCGATTAATTTAGACTAGTTGACCCCATGATTTCACATTATAATTTTTCTCTCTTATTTTCAATCATACAATTTTTCATAAAATAATATTACACATAAATTAAAAACGTATTTTTTTTTAATTTTTCAACAACACATTTTCCAAAAATCTATATAATATTGTCGCAGTGTCTTGACTCACTATTGATAAATGCAGAACTTATAGTATTTTTATTATTTTATCATTGATGGTGCCAAGGTTATTAAATGAATAAACAAAAGAATTTGGGACCATATTAAAAATATGCTACATGCTTACCTGATATGAGGACAAATCATTCGTCAATTTCATTGAATATTTGTATGATTGGTATCAAGCCCATGTTTGGTGGACCTAAAATTAATTTTATAGTATATTTTATTAAAATATGATAAAATATGTAATAAAAAAGTTATAAGTCCGATAAAATATGTGATTAAAATTAATTATTAATTTAAATTTAAATTTAAATTTAAATGTTAATCAGTATCAAACAATGGTCAATTATTTAGAATGCAATTTAGTAATTTATTTGACAATTTTGGACCTTTGGTCCTATTGTCAAAAGCACGAAACAATTGAATCACTTGTTCTAAAGATTACACTAAGGGTCACATTTTGTTTAAATCTTCAATCCATGATTGTGATATCTTCTTCTTCTTCTTTTTATTTTTTGGGGGAGGGGGGTTTGAAGCGTCCAAGTCCACAATTTCATTAAGTGGTTGAGTAGCGGTGAGACTTTGAAAACTTGATACTTTGCTTTCACTAACCAATACAATTTTTAAAGTTCACATTGAAAGTTATCATCGAGTAAAGATCCAAATTTACATTTTTAACAATTTTTAAGTTGCAAAGTTATCTCAATCTAACATGTATGAAATTGATTTTTAGCTATAAAATAATAACTAATATAAAAAATATTTTAATTAATTAATATTTATTTTTATTTTTATCTTTATCATTGAACAAAAATGTTAATTTAAAAATAGCAGTTAATTTCTTAGTTTTTATAGTTTTTGAATAATCAATGAGTTATTTCTGAATTTTTATAATATTAACTTACTGAATTAGTTTTTCTTTGATTTGACGTTGGAGTTTAGAAAAAGAAGATGATAAATCTTATACAAAAAAAATCTTTCAAGAAAAAAAATATTTATGAAAAATCAGTAATTACAAAATAAAATGCAAAATGTTAGATAATGTGTTACGCCCCTAACTGAACCATTTCGGAAAGTTCATCACCACATCAGGCGAGGCGTGGAACTCTCATCCGAAGTGGTTCCGATGTCACTTCACCAACGGAGATGACCTGCTATCACACTACGAGGCATAGATAATTCTGCAGGACTGACCGAAACGTCTTAATCCCCTGAGTCCGAGGCGAAATGAACCTCGTGGACCTCTGAGGATCCGCCACCGATTTCAGGATGAGATCTTTGTCAAGATCTTTTCTACCCCTAAGGTTTAAAGTGATTTGACGTCTCCATGAAACTAATTGATGTGACCTATCAACTTTATGTCAACTCAACTCAGGAGAAGTAACTACACGCCCACTTTACAGACGCGGCTGATTGACGCTTATGAGCAAATGCCTCATACCGTTCAGATGTACACACGTGTCTCACATCCAACGGCTCTCCTCACCTATAAATACCTAAGGTTTGGCAAGAGGCAAAGGTAATGAAACTCTTCTTATTTAGCACTCGATAGCAAGCAAATATATATTCTCCTCTCCACTATTTTGCACAACCTTGGTACTATTCCGATCACCTGAGCCTAACTTGACCGTCGGAGTGTATACGGCCGTCGCAACCCCGCTGGTCCCGGTCGTGTGCATCTGACCGTGCGTTGATTGTGTGCATGGAGGAATACGTGGAGTGGCTATCGGTTGACCACGTGGAGGGTCCAATTTTCGAGATCAACAGATTGGCGCCATCTGTGGGAAAAACTTCCCGTTCAAAGTTCTACATTCTCCATCGGAGAAAACACTGGAAAACTAGTGACTTACCCTGAAAAGGGCACGTTCTTGAAGAAGAACAAAGTCGAGTTATATCCCGAATTCTTATTGCCTTTGAAAAAGGAGATAGAATGAGTTCCAGTCATGAAGACGACAATCCCATGAGAGAGGCCTCTGAAGAAGAGGTGCCCCATAACAATGTCACTCACCAGAGATCCCATCATTGGCGTCGTCGAGGTGCAAGAAAAGCCATGGTCACTGAAAGGATGGCTCAAATAGCGGCGGGCATGAGAGACATCGCAGCTCAGAACATGGCGATGTGTGAATTTCTCATGCAAGCCCAAGGTCATCAGGGCTATCAAATGCCCCAAGAATCTTACCCAGTGCAGGAAGCCCCTGTATCCTGTTTTCGAGGCCATATGAGCCGACACACAGAGCGCCCCCTCGAAAGAAAAGTGGGCGCAGAAGCCAGCCAGCGGAACCACAGCTAGGGGACAATTTTCCTCAAGAATATAAGGAACAAAGGTCAATAAGCGTCTTTGACCGAATAGGGCAGGACCCTAGTAATAGGGCCCGCTCAATGCGAAGATCAGTTCGGCAAGACCAGGAACAAGAATAGGCACCTCCTCCTAGAAATAGGAGAGATAGAAGGAACCTAGTCGACTGGGGGAAGCCGAGGAGAAGCACCTCAACCTCCCCAGAATATTCGAGATGATGAAGGGTCGGATGGACCTTGTCGATCTTATGAAATCGATGATGGTGATGATAACCTCCCTTTTTCAAGGGAGATCCGAAGTTTCCCAATGCCGGCAAACTTCATGCCCCCTAAAATCCCCAAGTATGAAGGAAAGGGAGATCCGGAGAAGTATCTCACCAAGTACATGACACAGATGAGCCTTAGGGGAGCATCGCCTGCTTTGAAATGCAGAGCCTTCCACTTAACCCTGGGCGGAGCTGTCGAAGTGTGGTACAGCAGGCTTCTTCTCCTGAGCATTAGGAGTTGGCCAGATTTGAAGAAGACATTCTTAAATCAATACCTCTCACGCAAGGTAGGAGAGGCCCCAGTGCAGCGCCTGCAAGATATGAGGCAGACCCCTGGAGAGACGCTGAAAAGCTATCTCGCCAGGTTTACAGACGAAATCAAATGCTGCGAACAAGTTACTGACAGAGAAGCCCTTTCAGCTCTGAAAGGCGGCCTCAACATGAACACTTTGTTCTGGAGGGACGTGCGCAGCAAGAATCCTGCCACCTATGATGAACTGGTGGAAATGATGAGAGTAGAAATTGTCAGTGAGAAAATGATTGATTACCGAAATCGTGCCGTGCAAGGACTCCCTCCGCCTCATAGGCAGGTAGGTCGAGGACCTGCAGCGCACCTTGGCACTCAGTAATGGACTCAAGCAGGTCACACAATAGCTCCTACCTCCAGACAGGCATTGACTTTCACCACATTGAATGCAGTGCCGCTATTGGCATAGAGAATGCTCCTGGCGAAGCAGGACCATCCGAAAGAGATGATAATAATAAGAAGAAGAAGAATAAGCGATCAAACAGGCCCTTGGATGGGGCAAGATTCTGTACTTTTCATCAACTCTATGGGCATGACACTAGTGAATGCCGAGACGCTAACCGACATCCAGATCGAGACAACCCACATCCTTCCAGCAGGAGCGAATATCCTCGCAGATCCGCCTCCCCGAATAGGGGAGAGAGAGGGCATAAAGAGTAATCACCCCGAAGAAGAGAATCAAGAGACCGAGGACAGTCTAGACAGAGAAATCAGGCCCCATTCTCTGGGAGCAAAGTCATCAAGGAGATCGACCCAATCATTGGGGGACCTCACATCGGGGGCAACACCAGGAACGCCCAAAGAAATTATACAAGGGAAGTAAAGGACCCGCCAATGATTACCTACATTGTCAACAAGTCACAAGTAGTCGATAAAATGGCCCCAATCACCTTCTCCTAGGAAGATGCAAATGGAGTTCACCACCCCCATTGTGACGCATTGGTTGTAAGAGCCGTAGTGGCCAGAAACGGACTAAAACGCATGCTCGTCGACAATGGAAGTTCAGTGAACATACTGTTCAGCTCCACCTTCGACAAAATACAAATTGAACATGGGTTGATCCCTATGACCGTCCCACTATTTGGATTTACTAGAGACAACATCGTCTCACAAGGGCGGATCACTCTGCCCGTCGAGATGGGTTAAGCATCCCTAGTGGCCCAACACTTCATGTAATTCTTAGTGGTAGACCACAGATCGATTTATCATGGAGTATTGGGCAGACCTACTTTGAAAGATCTTTGGGCCGTCACTTCCATCCACTACTTGTGTATGAAATTCTCAATTGAACATGGGATTGCTACGGTTCGATGCGACCAGATGGGCTCCAAGGTATGTTATTTGAACTTTCTGAGAAAGTTGGAGATCATAACTGAAGTTGCTAATGAAGCCAGTATGGACGTGAAAATGTTCGACGCACCTGAATAAGGGCATACCTCCTAACAGGAGAAAGACGTCAACATGGAAGAGGCTCCTGAACCAGGACAACCTCTTGACGAGTTAGATCCCCAGATAATTGACTCTGAACCAAATACAACTACAATGGAAGAACTAGAGAATTTCTCTATCAACCCAGAGGACCCTAGGCAGGTCTTGCGAATAGGGAAGGCACTGTTCCCTAAAGCGAAAGAGGAGATGGTAAGCTTTCTGAAAATGAACTTGGATGTCTTCGCTTGGAAGCATGGAGACATGGTGGGGATAGATCTAAGGATCAGTTGCCATCATCTTAACATCAACTTCTCCTGTGCCCCTAATCGGCAGAAAAGACGTGCCCTCAACCCAGAAAGGGTACGAGGCTCTCAAGGACAAAGTAGGCAAGCTTAGCCACAGTGGTTTCATAAGAGAAGCCATCTACTCAAGGTGGATATCAAACCCGGTCCTGGTGAAAAAGCCTAGCGGGAAGTGGAGGGTATGCGTAGACTTTACCAACTTGAATAAGGCATGCCCTAAAGACAGCTTCCCACTTCTAAGAATAGACCAACTTGTGGATTTCACTGCTGGACATGAACTATTGAGCTTTATGGATGCGTATTCGGGGTACAATCAGATGCCCATGTTCCGACCTGACGAGGAAGCTACGTCATTCATCACAGACAGAGGACTCTACTGCTACAAAGTCATGCCCTTCGGATTGAAAAATGTCGGAGCCACATATCAGAGACTGGTCAACATGATGTTTGTCGAACTCATTGGCAGAACCATAGAGGTCTACGTGGATGACATGCTGGTCAAAAGCCTCTAGGCAAGCGAACGCGTAAATCATCTCGACCAAACCTTTCAGATACTTAGAAAATATAAAATGAAGTTGAATCCCTTCAAGTGCACCTTTGGGGTGGCTTCAGGTCAGTTCTTGGGGTATATTGTTAACCAAAGAGGAATTGAAGCCAATCCAGTAAAGATAACAACCTTGCTGGAAATGAGGTCACCTCAGAAATCGAAGGAGGTCCAAAGCCTTAATGGTCGAATGGCTGCACTCAGTCGCTTCATCTCCAGAGCCACTGATAAGAGCTTACCCTTCTTCAAGGTGCTTAAGCAACGAAATAAGTTCTAATGGACTTCTGAGTGCGAAGAACCCTTCCAGGCACTGAAAAAGCACCTCGGAGAGGCACCCCTTCTGTCAAAACCTCGACCAAAAGATTCTCTGCTGCTGTATTTGGCAGTATCGGACATGGCGGTCAGCGCTGTTCTAGTCAGAGAAGAAAATGAACGACAGTTGCCAGTGTATTACATCAGCAAAGCATTCTTCCCAGCTGAAACATGGAGAAATTGGCACTTGTCCTCATCACAGCCTCAAAGAAACTGAGGCCATACTTCTAGGCCCACTCTATCGACGTTCTCACCAATTTTCCATTGAAATAGGTGCTGCAGAGAACAGACGCATCAGGACACCTGCTAAAATGGGCAATCAAGCTCAGCGAATCCGACATATTGTTCTGACCTCGACATGCCATCAAGGGCCAGGCCCTTGCAGATTTTGTGATTGAGTTTGCCAAAATCCCAGAAATGGATGCAATAATGGAACCAGCCGAGCCTCCAACCTGGAAACTGTTTGTAGATGGATCCTCAGGAGAGCCAAGCTCCGAGGCAGGAATAGTCTTGGAAAGCCCAGAAGGTCACAGCTAAATTGCGCAGTAAGGTTCAGCTTCAAAATCTCAAACAACGCTGTCGAATACGAAGCCCTTCTAGCGGGCCTTAGATTGGCAAGAGAGACGCAGGTAGCAGCGATTCTCAGCTGATAGTGAATCAGGTCAGTGGAAGCTTTACGACCAAAGACAGCGGTATGGTCGCATGTTTGAAATTGGTTCTGGACCTAGTCTCCTAATTTGAAAGGTTCGAATTGATTCAAGTCCCATGCCTAGAGAACACACACGCAGACGCCCTCTCAAAATTGGCCAGCAGCAAGGATTCTGAGTTATTAAAAGTTGTCCCTATTGAACACCTGGTAAAGCGCTCCATTTTCGTAAGAGAATAGGTACTTTGGACAGAAGGCACCCCATTATGGATGTAGCCCGTCATCGCCTACCTAAAGGATCAGACACTACCTGGTTCTAGAAGTGAGGCAAGGAAGTTGAAGAAAAGGGCTGCGCACTTCGTCCTGAAAGAGGATGTGCTCTACATAAGAGGCTTCGCCTCACCACTTCTCAGATGTGTCGGAGGTGAAGAGGCCGCATATATACTTAGGGAAATCCATGAGGAAATTTGCAAAAATCACTCCGGAGGAGCGGCCCTGGCACACAAGGTTCTCCGTCAAGGCTATTTCTGGCAGACCCTGAAAAGGGATACTTACCAGTTTGTCCAGAAATGTGACAAGTGCCAGTGCTCCTTGAATATTCAAAGGCAGCCTTCTCAGAACCTCTTTGTGGTAACCAGGCCCTGGCCATTCGTCAAGTGGGGCATCGACTTCATTGGTCCACTCACTAAAGGAAGAGGAAGCACGACCTTCGCCATTGACTACTTCACCAAGTTGGTCAAGGCTGAACCTCTTGCGAAGATTACTGAGGCAAATACGACAAAATTCGTCTGGAAGAATATCATTTGCAGGTTCGGTATTCCCCACTCCTTAGTGTCTGACAATGGGAGACAGTTCGACAATAGGAAAATGTGAGAATTGTGCGATGAACTGGGGATAAAAAAGGATTTCTCAACGCCTCATCACCCGCAAGCAAATGGACAAGTTGAGGTAGTAAACAAAAGCATCAAGCTTAGCCTGAAAAGAAAGCTTGACACATCAAAGGGAGCTTAGGTTGATGAAGTTCCCCACGTCCTCTGGGTAATCTTAACCACAAGCCGAACTACAACTGGGAAAACACCATTCTCAATGACCTACGGGGCCGAGGCCATGAGCTTGGTCGAGGTCGAAGTCCCATCACACCGTCGAATACACTACAACGAGATCAGTAACGACAAGGCCCGGGTGAACGAACTCTACCTTCTTGAAGAAAAGAGGGATACCTTTTAGGTGAATTTGGCAAAGTATCATAGGAAGATGACCCGCTATTACAACTCCAAGGTCAGAAACTGAATTCTTCGCCTGGGAGACCTCGTCCTCAGGAGGGTCTTCCAATCATCAAAGCCAACCAGGTCAGGAGTGCTTGGACCGAATTGGGAGGGTCCTTATCGCATCTGCAGGGAATCCCGACCTGGCACTTTCAAAATTGAAGACATGGCAGGGAAAGCACTACCTCATCAATGGAACATCAAACATTTAAGGAAATATTATCAGTGATGAGTTTTTGTTCCGATCCGATCTCAATGTTGTCTGATAAGTGTGTGTCCCGATCCGATCTCATTTGTAATTTTCCTATCTTATTGAGCGCTGAAAATGCCTTGGTAATGGATAATGTAACTTTTTAAAGTATTGATACTTCAATTCTTTGTCACATTGATTATCAAATTGTTACCTCAGTCCCTCAGTATTATTACTTAAATGATCCGATCTTTTGATTATTGTTAAGAGACGCTTGGTGATTACTTGAGTGATCTGATCTGATTATTGTTAAGAGGCGCCTAATTATTACTTAAGTGATCCAATCTGATTATTTTCAAGAGATGCTTGATGATTATTTAAGTGGTCCGATCTTCTGATTGTTAAGAGGCGCTTAGTTTTAAAGTTTGTCATACATATATGCATAAACAGATCAATACGATAAGAAAGTAGAAGCAATAACACTTAAAATTTCTTTTTTCATTTCATTCACTTCAAATTTACAAGAGGTCAAAGCCATTACAAAATAAGCCCTACTCTACGGAAGGCTCCTCCCCACCAGCTTCAGCCTCAGAAGCTGTTGGAGCGTCCTCTGCCAGCCTATCAGGCCGGCCTCCAGTAGGTCCCCCGAACTCTGCCTCTAAAGATGAGATGTCCAAAGTAGGGTGAACCTCTTTTAGCCGACCCTATATGCCTTGGGCACTCCAGGAGGCCCAGAAATTAGCAAAGTCATCGTACATGGAATGTTTCTCGAAGTGGTCAATGAAATTCTGAATAGTCACTTACCCTGCCGACTTCAACTTCTCCTTCAAGGAGGCAATTTCCTCAAACTGGGCCTTCGTCCTCTGCCTCAGCTCAGCTTTCTCTTTATTGGAGGCCTCCAGAGCCTCCGTGGCGAGCCGGTGGTGCTCGTTGGCATGATCCACTCTTCGGGTCATGGCAGCCACCTGGCATTCCGCTTCATAGAGCTCCTTCTTTAGCCACTCTACATCTCCAGCAGCAGCCGCTAGCAGGGCCTCAGCCTCCATCCTCCTTTTCTCCTCCTCCGTGGCCTTAGCCCAGGCCTCCCTCACCTTGTCCCTATATTGCATCGCCTCTTCAAGGCGCTTGGCGAGGTCTTCCCTCTTGACGTTTAGGTCCTACACCAAGCCCTCGAGCTGGATGCTGGTGCTCAGAGCCTAGGCCACACATGTACTATTGACCGCCACCAGGTCCTCGACTGTGTAAGAGGCGGTATGGTCCCTCCATTCTTCAGTCCAATACTTATTGTGGACTACCACCACTACAGTCATTTTTGGAGGAAGAGCCTCCAGTACTTCTTTAACGGGCTCCTCGGAGTTCGAACCCATGAAGTCCACCTCCTTGGAGGGACGAGCTCTTTTCTTCTTAAGCTCCCCCGGCACCTGGGCGAGAGGGACGGCAGCAACTGGCGCCCTCGTTGGGGCAGGAGAAGCCTCTGATGGCGCGGACGTTCTCTCTGGAATGGCCACCCCAGTAGGAATTTTGGTTTGCCTCATAATGGAGGGTGGCCTCGCCACCGTTTGCCGCTTGGAAGGGGCAGCAGGTTTCTTGCCCTTCCGAAGCAGGTTCGCCTCTGGATCCTCAGGCACCTACTCCTTCGTCGGAGGTGGGAGCCTCTTGCTGGCATCCATTAAGTCCTCCATCTGCTTCTTGTAAGAGGAGGCGGAGGTCTTTAAGGCCCTCGCCTCGGCCATCATCTTTTGTATTGTTTTGAAGTTAGGCTGGAGAGCCATCTTCTTATTGAAGTTACCTGTAAGAAACAAGTAAATTAGTACAAGTGTAAATGACTCGAAAATATTCAAAGGTGTTCGCTTCGAGACATTACCTTGTGAGGACATCAGATCGTGCGTCACAAAATGGAGGTTCTTTCTGATCAGCCGATGGAACGACCTCTTCTTTGGAGGCAACTGATCGATCATGCAGACGATCTCGAAATCGTCTGAAGACAGCTCACACCGAGGAAAAGTGCCTTCAAAAAATGAATACGAGTATTAGTTATAATCCAAACCGAAGAGAATAAAGAAGAAATACAGCTATAATACTCACTAAGTGTCGAATACTTCGTGGGGACTGTAAGAGGTGCCAGGGGGTCCCCCTCCATCGTGTCCCATCTCCCGGCAACCCAGCACTACGAGCTCTTTCACTCTTTGATGGAGCTTGGCAGATCGAGCACGAATGGAGTGTGGGAACCCCAAGAGGTCAGGTAATACCAGCCCCTGGTCTTATCCCCTCGGTTGTCACTTTCGAAATATAGAGGGTCTGAAAAACTGAGAAGGGCATCTCCACTCCTAGTGACGCCTCTTTTCATAACATCCAGGAGCCCACAATCTGGCTCTAGGAGTTCAGATTCAGTTGGGTCGGTGCTAAGCCATAAGACCTAAGCGCCATCCGAAAAAATGGGTGAATTGGAAGACTAAGGCCAGCCCTAAGGATTGCCTCACTTATTGCTACACACCCTGGCCTAGGGTAGCAGGCCCTCTCGTCAGGCTCGAGTAGGATCAGGTATCCTATATTTG